GGATGTTTTCTAAACAGGTAGCAGTACTAAAAGGTCAAGGTTATAATATTGTGGAAATACTTAAACAACCTGATAAAAGTCCTTTGGATCTTTGCGCATCTCAGAATCTAATGGTATGGGATATGATCGAGTCTATTGAAGTTCCAGAAGAACCTGATAATATGGAAGGTGACAATGACAACCACCAGTCAGATAATATCAAGATTGACAATGGTGGTAGAAATTCATTACAAAATGTTGATTATGGTGAGGCATCTGGTATAGGTGGATCAGTTGGAACCAAGTATCCAAATCTACCTCCAAGAAGGAGTGTTTCGGAATATAGTTCTCCACGACCTTCATTGTCTGTTAGTGCACCAGCTGCTTCAGTACTTTCTGGTGATTCTGCAAGAAAAAATACATGGGTTGACAGATTTAATCGTGTAAAAAATAAATTTGCTTTTGATACAATTGGAAAAAATAGAGATACTGAAGAAAAAAGAACAAAACTTGTTGTCATTGAAAAGATAGAGCCGGTAAAAGGAGGAACACCATTTTTTAAATGTTGTTAGTTATATTCTTAATTATTAATTAACAAAAAACAATTATATATATAATTAATTCCCTTGCATTAATTATAGTTTTAAAACAAAAAAAAAGTATTTTTTATTCTTGTATTATAAATTTTAAATTTTTCTTTTTTTCTTTTCAACATAATCGTTTGGATAGCTTATTTTGTACAATTTTTTGAAGATCAAATAATTTTTATCAAAAAATTTTTTATTGCAATTATCAAAAATACAAAAATAAAATAAAAAATTACAAAATTACAAAATTATGAATAGGTTTAAAAGTTGTCGGTTATTTTCCACAGTTAATCTTTTAAAAAATAACAATCTTACTCATCAACCATTAAAGCGTCAACTAGTAGTGCTAGCATCAACAAATTCAAGAAATATCATCATTAAACATAACGCAAAAAAAATTTGACACATTATCAACGACAAAAATAACAAAAACAACAGTTAATCCATTTGGATTTTATTTATCATCTTCTTTTTTGAGGTCTTATTCTGATGCAGCAGCACTGACCCGAGAAAATATTGAGGCTAGGATTCTTGATATTTTGAAAGCATTTGATAAAGTTGATCCTTCAAAGGTATGTATAGTAGTGGTGGCAGTAATAGAAAGGATTTATGTGATAAGTGAGAAATATAAATGGCAATTTTTTATGTTTTTTGGAGGGATTCTTATTTCATGAAAGAAAATTGATTTAATAATGATTATTATTAATTATTATTCAATCATTTCAATCGTTATATTATATTAAATAAGGTAACCACTCAGGCACGTTTTGCTGACGATCTTGGACTTGATAGTTTGGATACTGTTGAAGTGGTGATGAATATCGAAGAAGATTTTTCAATTGAAATTCCCGATAAAGAAGCTGATGAAATTAGATCAGTTAAAGATGCTGTTGATTATATTTCTAAAAGGGATGATGCACATTAAACAATATTATTAATAAACAAATTAAACAGATATATTTTTATATTGACAGTTTTTTTTTCTTCTAAATAATAAATTATTTTATTATTTAGTTGAAACTTATTAATTTTTTTTAATTTTTCTTTTTTTTCTTTTTGTAATAATATTATCAATAAAGAAAAAACGTGCACTGCGGAATTTATGGTGTAACGTGATATTTTAATTATCTATCACAGAAATTTTTTTTAAAACAGTCAAACCTCATCACAGCGGATCCATGGTTCCAGCCAAAAAAATCCGTTATGACAAGAATCTGTTGTGGCAAAATTGGCAAAAAATATTTTTTAATAATAATAATAAATTAATAAACTAAATACAGAAATAAATGAATAAATGAATAATACATGCGGAAATTGTTGTAATGTTTGGTTGTATTAGTTTTTCATTATCTAATAATTTTCACTTTTCTTTTCAATGATTTAAATTCTTTATAATCTAATTGACTTTATTATGAATCTTTGGAAAAATGATCTTGTTTGTTTTATTGTTTTAAAAATCTATCAATTGTTTTATTTTAGTAACTTGGAAAATTTTATTTACTCGCAAACATTTGGATAATTGTTTGTTTACTGATTTATTTTATAAACTTGGAAAAGGTTGTTATTCGCAAACATTTGGACAACTATCAATTGTTTGTTTATTGATTTATTGATTTATTTTAGAAACTCGGAAAAAGTTGTTACTCGCAAACATTTGGACAAATAATCTATCAATTGTTTGTTTATTGATTTATTTTAGAAACTTGGAAAAAGTTGTTACTCGCAAACATTTGGACAAATAATCTATAAATT